ATAATTAAAATAATCATTGAGTTTTAACAGAATGTTTGATTATTATCTTTATAAGAAATTATATTATTAAACCAAAAATAAATTACTTCGTTATTAAATTTAAATTAAATTACAATAAAAATTTGAATTAAATAAATTACATAAAAAAAACAAAAAATTTTAAATAGTTAATTTGATACTAACAATTTATTTTTTAAAAAATTTTATACTATCTTCAAATTTATATCTCATTCAAAAATAAAAATATTATTGTTTTCTCAAAACCACATAAAATCATATTATATTGATAGAGAAGAATAAAAACTATAATTAAATGAAGATTTATCTCGTTGCGAGTACCATTCTAATATTTAATAAAACTATACTTTATAAGATTATAATTAATGAAATTAAGATTTTATCTTGTTTCAGTTTAAATAAAATACAACATATCATAAGTACGATTTTAGTTTATAAATCAAGTCGTCTGAGTATTAATTGACATTTAAAATAAGGGCAAATTGCATGAAAAAATAACGTACTTTAACTTGATTCCTATTTTGGGTATGTACTTTCAAAACTTTCATTTTGGTACCTAAGATGTAAAGTTTTAAACATTTAAGTACCCGGGTAACTGGTTGAAGTATTAACTAATTATCATGATGATGTGGCGAGTGATGTGGTATCCAACTCGGTATTATTTGATGACGTGGTCAGTGACGTGGATTTTTTTTAAATCTAAAATTAGTCTTTTTTTAGTCTAAAATTAGTCTTCACCGGGTTACCCGGGTATTTAAATGTTTAAATCTTTACATCTTAGGTACCAAAATGAAAATTTTGAAAGTACGTTACCCAAAATAAGAATCAAATTAAAGTACGTTACTTTTTCATGCAATTTGCCCTTAAAATAAATACTCTTTCAGAAATTAAATCACCCAAATGCTGAAAATTCTCCAACCATTTGTTCAAAAATCAGTGACGTTTAGTAGAGACGTGTATACTTACCCATTTTATTCTTTTGGAATTATCACAATAATTATTCGGGTTGTTTGATAGCTGTTGAATACTTTGTTGTAGAATAATTAAGTAGTTAAAATGATTAAAAGACTCTCATGATATACTGAAAAATGAAATATAATTATTTGGTAATTATTTACCACGAAATTATGACGCTGAATGGTTAAGAGATGCCCATGATACAAAATCATTTAAAGGGTTTTAGAATCATTAAGAGGCTGAATTTTTTTTTTTTTGTCAAACAAGATTCATTTTTTAACGATTTATAGACTGACTCTTAATGGAACTATTAAAAGGTAAACAAACAACCCCTTAGACTAAACTCTTTTTTAAAATAAAAAATAGGAAAGAAAATAAAGAGATATGACATATTATTGGAGATATTCTTAGATTGAAAATTCTAACATACAAGAATAAAAACAAATCAATTGACCATAAAATATAATCTCAACCACCTAAATTTGTTGATCATTCTCTTGCCAAATAAAAGATGGGTTATTAAGCATCAAATTTACTAAAATTAGACAAATAATAATATATCATGATTATTTCTTTTAAAGGATGTAATTAAAAAATCATAAAAGTTATGAATTATGATGACGATTAAATCCAATAAAACAGGCGTTGTCCATGTTACATCCTCGGTAATTTATTTAACAAAATACGAATATTTTCATCAAACTCATGATCGACTTAACTAATTGTCTAACCAAAAATATCGACTCATGTGGGAACAAAATGTCCGTCAATTTCAGATGATGCCATATTTTTCCAATAAAATGATGGTAATCACATAAAATTGCAATTTTCGCTTCATATAAAAAATTCTTATTGGTTAGTTACCTGTATTTGGTTTCTATATAAACCGAGTGAACCGTCACAAGTAGATAAACCAACTAAAATGGAAGTAGAACAACCAGTGTCCACGAACAAACCCTCTTCTTACTTCAACTTCGACGATCAACGAGACTCTCCTGACCAAGTTCGCAACGCCATTTTGGTGGTTCAAGTGCTCATTGCCACTGCCAGCTTTCAAGCTGTGATGGATCCTCCCAATCATATTACGAACGGCAGTCAAGCCAAAATAATTCTATTCACTTGTGCAAACACATTAGCTTGGTCGTCTTCAATGACCGTCATCCATGTGCTCATGGATTCTTTCCCATATCAGAGAGAGATAATAGTATCTTACTTATCCATGACGACTGCCTTCGGTTTAACTGTGGGGGGACTGGTGGGTATGACCGGAGGCATTGGATACATACTATTTTTAGTGTGCGTATTTCTACCATGGGTTATTCGTTGGGTACCCATTTATATAAAACGTTTATGTTGCTGTCGAGTGTGACGAATGAATATTTGTGCTAGTTTCATGGATGCTTAATCTATTCATAATATTCTAAATATTTTGTGTATATTTTTGTTTCTATCTTTTCTGTACGTATCTTTTCTACTTAATAAATAGTGTCATCTTTATATGTACCGTAAGGGATGACTATCTTATGTTCGTATTTTAATTTAATTATAAGTAGAAATAAACCATAAATGAAGAACGACCAGAAACCTACTCGATCGATTCTAGTTTCTTGTTTTGCTTTTATGTTTGGTCAACCATTAGACCAAGATATGCTCTTAATTTTAACTAGCGATTTCTCCATTTTGGAGATTACAATATCAATAATTTTATTAAAATATTTAATAAAATATTATTTCTTTATTTTAAACACTTAATCTTTAATTTCAATTATTCTCATCGGTATTATTATTTTTTATTTTATTTTAATTAACCTGGATATCCAACCCGCTATGCGAGCTGATTAATCCCAGGACGACCATCTGCTTTGCAGATAGCCCGGAGTCACCGCATTTGAACCTCTGTGGCCACAAAAGGATTTTTATTCCTCATTGGATTTGATCCAGAGACCTCCTGGTACTTTTGACATTTGGAACCAAGCTCAAACCAATCAGGCACCACCTTTGTGGTTTATCGGTATTATTAACTACATAGGAAAGAAAAGTTATCTATGAATGTCACTGCTTACATCATAGACAGCAATCCTAGTGCAGGGATCAAGACGTGCGAAAGAAAAACAACTAGTTTCTAAGAATAGTCAAGTACCTCGATTTTTAACCGCATTGGAGATTCGACTACTTTCACAACTATAAGACGATAAAATAAACCGAACCAAACGAGGCAAGCCCAAACTGTGAATTCTCAAAAAGTAATCATGCACATACAAGAAACCTAACAGGCACGACGATTTCAATATCTTACCATCTGTAGAGATATGCTAGAATAATAAATGGCACGGATCGTTCAGAAACAGATGATGTCGGTCGTCACCTGCAAGCCTGCAACAAATTTTAGGAAGATATATATGTTTAAAGTGCCATTTTCCTTCTCCATCCTCTATTTGTTCAAGTATATAGAACTCCCATTCACATTCAGTTCTCATCCCACCATATAAAGTATCCAGAAAAGAAGAGGATGAAAGTGAATTAAAGCCTAGCTGCAGTCAACAAGCAAATCAGAAACATCACATCTTGTGTTGGGGAACAAAACTGGTCATCTCCTAGAGACTATTATTACAGCCAAATATCTAAAACATCAAATATAATGTTGCGGTCAGCTAAAGACGAAGCATCTTGTTAACTACCAGGCAACCAAAATTACGACTTGCAGACGCTCAGATATGTAAGAATCATCAAAAACACAAATGGGTCAAGAAAGAATCTGATCGTCTCCTGTAACAGGAATTATTATAAAAAAGTGCATGTAAATTTGCAATCAACATGGAAATGTAAAAACTTTGGAGTTCAAAATCATAAAAAGCATAACTATAAAGTATGAACTGGGAAAAGAACTGTCCGTTTCTAGGAAAATATCTAATTATTTAACATAATATTGCAGTCGAGAAGAAGTTGAGTCAAAACACATCATCTGGAGACTAAGAAAGATGCTAAGCAATTTGTTTCTTGAAGAGTTCACCAGCAAAGCTGTGAACAAGATGGACAACCGCTTCAGGCACTCCACAATAGATTGATCATGGCTCGTCCCCACAGTTCTAGTCTCCACGTGGCCACTGGGGATTTTAACCCGGCCCATGGGATTAGCCCGGACACCCATGGTTACCCAGAAAAAGACTGATCTTACATCTTTGCTGGGGATGCAAGTGTGACAACTATATATGACTTTCATTCAACGGTTTCCACCCCAGCCTTAGCTTGGGACAAACCCTTATGCAGTTAATGTATTAGAAGAGGACTTCCATCCTACCTTCCCGATTAAAGAATAGAAACTTCCTTGAAGATATATGAAAGTAGCCATGTCCTAATAAAGACTAACAGGAACCTATATACGGCTTCTACTTATCAACTTCTTTCTTCAAAATAACGAGTACTCAAAAGAATATAACCCTATGGAATGCAAGCAACAACCTCCTTCAGGTCCCATGACCTTCAGTCAAAATTATAAGTGTCCAGGGCAAGTAATGAGAACTTTCAGCAATATTATCGATAAGACACAAAGCATATTGAACTTAAAGGTACTTGAAGCAATGAGATAAACGCAAACGTAACTCAATGGAGCAATAACCTTTTCCCTCCTATAGTCCATGTAGAAATGACTGAACTTAACACTTCAATTCTGCAACCAGTAGTTCATCTTCAACAAACTGATCCATGTGTCCAAGATCTTATAGATGAAAGCTTACGAAGCAAGTGTCTCCACACTGCCTAATTAGATAAACAATTTAGAACACCTCCCTTATTGGAGTAATATAAAATTACCTTGTTGACTAACAGGCTTTTGCTGGTAACCTGCTGGCAGAAAGTCGAGCAATAAGATCAGCCCGACTTGATTGAAACCTCCATGCTCTTTCCATCAAATTAGCAAAGAAACATATTCAAATGTCCTCAACCATATGTGAAGCAAGCACCTTAGCTTTTTCACAGTTTTATCCATTCTAATGGTTGCGCAACATATCATTTGAATCATTAGGGTACACAAAGATCGAATTTGGAACTTGCATTCATAAAAACCAGTGTCGAGATTCTCTTACTGCATAAAGTATGAGGTCATACACTTAAACCATCAATCTAACATGTACTTCATCTAATCAGAATCAAGACCAGTTGATCATCCCCTTTCACATAACAAGAGGCTTTTCTAAGATTCATGCTCCATGACCAAGCTGCAGACATCATAACGCATGACCTTTGAAAATCGCATTCTACAGCAGCCTCTTCATCAAACTATCTGTACCACAGATTAAAATCACTAGTAACCAAGATGCTCCATTCTCATCATGGGACCTCTTACAAGAATGCTCAAAACAAAAGAAAAATAGGAAGACCGTGATCCTACACCAGAAAATCCTCGGATTCTCCTTGGGCCCGAAAAGAAATTGGCATCAAATAAGAAAATAGTGTGCACCTCAATAGTAGGATCCAGAGCCTCCACTACCCATGTAACCACTGCCACCCAAGCTACGACCAGAATACAGCGATGATGAGTAAGAGCTTCCGCCAACCTGCAGATAGAACATCAGAGTCGTGCTCAGGCTTGGATCTGAATAGTAGTGAAGACATAAAGAATCCACTCATTAAGCTACTTTCTCTTCATTCACATGACCATTTTGTGGTTCTTGTCTCCATCTATCCTCACTTCATTAAAATTGATCCACAGAAGGAGAATGAAATTGATATAAAATAACAAAAACATACATCACTGCCACGAGAGATGTAATCGCCACCATAGCTTGATGAGTATATACCACCACCATCACTGCCACTGTAAGATCCTGCACAATCAGAGAAACACAAGCAAACTTAGAGATATCCTTGAAAAATCTAAACTCGGTGCGTTTTGCAAAAGCAACCATATGAAGAAAACTCAGACACACCTCCACCGTATGCCAGACCCTGACGGCTGCTATAAAGACCATGAGAATCCTGAGCAGACATTGAACTCCTGCTACTACCATAACCTATGTTTGATCTTCCAAGTCTGACAACAATTCATGAAAAAAGTAAAAACTTAAATCCAACTAAAGAACGATTAAGAGGATTAAGAAATATAAAAGCAGACCTATCGCTATATGCATCTCCATATTGTGAAGATCCACCTCCAATTTCATAATCCAAACGAACTCGCGATTGGCGTACTTCGGCATCAGCATAGCGGGGTGGAACATCATCCTTATAGATTGGTAAAGATTTCTATTAATAACACAACCATCATGCAAAAAACAAATGGAATATATATTGCACAAAACATTGACACCAACCAGTGCAGCATATGGACGCTTTGACCCAGGAACAGGATCATAATCACGAGGGCGACCCTCGCGATAACTTGGTGGCGGTCTCTCAAACCTTGTTGAATAGCCACCATCTGTGTAGGCTCTCCTTGATGTAGAGTGAGAGGACCCTCTTGGTAGATCAGCATAGGTAGGTCCACGAGTAGGATAACTGTCTCTGTAAGATGAGTTTCTCTCCGAGGTAGACCTAGGAGGACCATACTCAGCAATTGCTCTGCCAGCAATCGCTCTGCTCCTCGGCGGAAGCTCCTCACGTCGACCATAATCCCGCTTCAGGCTATTCTTGGTGTGTGAAGGAACTATATGCAGAACATTAAATTTTAACACTACTTAGACACCAAGAAAAACTGATTCTCGCAGTTATGTTTAATACAGCTATTGACAGAATCCAAAGGGCCATTGGTCCAGTGGTATCTGGGTTACCAGTACTCCAGTAGAGCCCAGCCTCCCAGAAGGTCAATGGCTCAAACCTCACCAAAGGTGAGAGGTGTGAGTATTTGCCATATATAAATATTATGTACTTCAAAAAAAAGCTACTGACAGAAGCTGAAGCATACCAGGAGGCCTCCTATCATAGGACCTCGGTAAAGGAGCCACTGGCCTCCCTCTTGGTGGCAAGGCGACAACAGGCCGTCGATCCCTTAACCCAACAGGCCTCCTAACACTACGATCAACAACAGGTGGTAGACGTCCACCAAGTCTTCTTATACCGCGTGGAGGCAAATTGCGTGGTACCGGACGAGCCCATGGACCCCTAAAACCTCCAGAGGCAGCTCGACCAGGTCGAAAATCACCACGTGAGATGTGTTTTCCTTTGCCTCTCTGAAGTGGTCGTGACAATCTGGCCCTCACTTTAGCCTGATATACAACAATTATGGATAAGAAAACAACAGCTATCAACAACTATATGAATATACTAAAAGACTAACCTTGTTCTCTCCTTCTCCCAGCTCTACATTATTAATGCTTTTAGCACATGTCACAGCTGCATCATGTGTTCCAAAGGTGATGAATCCATAATCCTTTCTTCTGGCAGAAGGCATATTACGGGCAAGCTCAATTTTCTCCACCTCCCCGTATTTCTTGAGAAGATCCCGCACTCGAACCTCATCCCAAGAAGAAGGCAGGCCATCCACAAAAACAGTCTTAACCTGAAGAAAACATAATCAATGGTTGTATCTATAAACTATGGATACATACTTGGAGTAGAGAGGGGCAGCCAGAACAAAAAAAGTCAACTGAGTAGCAAACATTGTTGTCTTTCAAGATAGGTTCTGAAGAAACTATACAACTTGAGACATAGCATATCATATACTTTGGAAATACATATAATGTGTACATTTCATGCACTCTGTTTATTGAATCATTTTAGTCCAAAAGCTCAACAATCAAGCTGAGCAAAAAAATGGCAGAAAACATAAGCATTTAAATTGCTTATTAAAAGAGAGGATGAACCGGCATTCTCATTATACAAGCTGCGCTAGGGTGTCATGTCAACGATCAAAAGCCAGTATAGTTACACAGTGGTAGGCAACATGTAAAAATTAAAAAGAATGTTAGTCCATTACTAGACCATCTTGGGTGCATCAGATTTAGATTTATTCAGGGGATCAGATAATCTAAGTACATGGTAAACAATAAATTACTCTTCCATGCATTAACAAACAAACAGAATATCAAGATATCTAATAAAGACCTCTCATTTCATGCCCACTTGAAATGTTAGAAAGATCAATGAAGCATCAACGTGAATTGCATGCATAATCAGAAAAACAGAATTTCAGCAGCCAAACATCCAGGCCTCCTTGTTCAGATGAAAGAAATAAGTCCCAGCATTTTACCTGGGCCATGATCTCATCACCAGGGTCAATGAAAGAATCTGCAAAAGAAACCTTAGCTGGCCTATCAACACCAAATGTCACATCTCTCTTTTGCAGACGCTTAAAAGCATCCATAGCATCCGAACGGGAAGAGAACTCCAAAAAGGCAAAGCCCCGATTAGTTCCATCAGTCTTACTGTCTTCTACCAATGTCAAATCCTCCACGGTATCAATTCCATAGTTTTTCAACTTTTCTTTCAGCTGGAAGCACATTGAACATCAGTGAGATGGCTATCAATTAACTTTAATTAATTTTACACAAGCGATGAAGCTTTAGGCAATCTCAAATTGCCTGAATCTACTTACAGCTTCCTGGGTCCATGTCTTGCATATATTACCCAAAAATAGTGTATCACTGTCTTGACTTGGCGAAACACCACATTGTTTCCCATGAACCTGGAATTTGGTGGTAAAAAGACACGGTTTAACATGTTATTAAAATCTGCTTCCTATATACAATGACTGGCTGAGGAAATACCACAGGATTTTTTAGCTCTACACAAGCTCGTTTTGCCTGCTCCACAGTTGCAAAACGGAGGAATGCAAATCCCTTGTTCTTCTTGGACTGAGCATTCATCATAAGTCTGACTTCAGAAACCTCTCCAACTTCACTAAAGACTTTCCTAAGGTCCTCCTCAGTAGCATCTTTGTCCAATCCCCCGACAAAGATTTCAAACTCTTTTCGTTTACGTCTCTCTTTGAAAACATCATGCTGCTCTTGCTCCTCTGCATCCGCCATTCCAGCATGCTCTTCAGCAGCATGCTCCTCCTCCTCGGGCTCCAACTCCTCCGGAGGATCTTCCATTTCTCCCTCAGGTATATCATCACCCTCTTCATCCTCACCAACATCCCCATCCTCAACTTCTTCCTCCACATCAAGTACCTCTTCTTGAACATCCTCTACAACCTCCTTCTCATCATAATCCTCACCAACATACTCCTCAGGTTCGGATTCTTCTGGATCATTATCCTCCAAGTCCAACCGTTCCCCTTTTTCATATTCCTCGACAGAATCTTTCACATCATTGTCTTCCCCTGTCAGGCATAAATGCAATGAGAATGCTTACATGTGGCTTAGTGGGAATCTCGTTTATCCAGAAACATTCCAACAAAATGGAACTAATCCATGAGCAGTTATGTTCCTTTATTACCAACTTAAACAGATGTGATGTTAGCTGAAAACAATGTAATAAGCAACAAGAGCATATAAAGTTTCCCTCAAATGACCATCCTTATAGGTCTGTGGCTTTGCTATTTGATACTTCAAATTTGATAGGTTTGGGTGCAACTTGATAACCAGTATATGAAGATTACCATGCACAAACAGATATAAGTAGCACCACACAGAAAGAATAGACCACTTTGAAGTATTGTTCCACCTTGACAGAAAGCTCCATTGCTTCCGTCTCCTCAAGCTGTGATTTTATACCATATGTCCTACTTGATAAGGAGATTAAATCTAGGTTGATTCTTCTGATTTAATAGTACTAGATGCCTAAGCAAAAAGATGAACAGTGATAGTTCAGAAAACAAAATTCACTAATATACATTGCACTCCTATATAAGGCACTTCCGCAGGAAATGGTGGATATTAAACAGACTTAAAGGGCTGTCAACCTCCAAGCTTCAGATCCTCAAATACCGGTAAGAATACTACATGTTGGGTGCACCTTTTTTTACACCTATACCTCAAGAAAAAGACTGAATTTTCTTCATAGTTCATAACAAACCAAAGACCTCTATTTGATGCACAACCATCCACATAATTAAAATCAAGATCAACCCCATGGACAACAGATTTTGGCCAATTTCGGGATCTCAAGGGAGGTCAAATCAGTTTCTAATTCCTCAGGAGGCAAGAATGAATCGTTATCAACCACCAGTCTTTAAAACTATTTAAAAAGAGTGCTTCATGTCATTTGTCAGCCCTCCAATAAACAATGCGTCATTCATTATCTACAGACATGGTTGCTAGCAAATTTTCTTTAAGTGATTTGACATGACAGATTCTGAATTCCTCCATTATTCTCGTCTATTTGTCATAACTAACTAGCAATTTGAAGTCTTTTGATGGTATTATCTGGAAGGCCTTTGTAATGAACATGTGAATTTACTCCTTTGACATCATGGGTTTCTCTTTATTTGTATATGCTGAATTTTATTTATACGAGTATTGTTTTCTCATCAGGATGTTCTTGATATTGCTGCAAATTTTAAGGTCAGGCCCTCAAACAGCCTCATACATAAACAATTGTAGCTTAACAACATGTCAACGTCATCCATTTTCTTTAAGAAAAGCCATCCATTTGACATAGTGTCTTGCCTAATTCTTTAAAAAGACAATTCCTTTCTCAATTGATTTTCCACACCACACATGATAGAAAACAAAAGCAACAAGACAATTTGATGTATTAGAAAAGCAATCTTTTTTACTCTTGCATGATTTGCAGTTAGTTACGTTCCTACCTGCTACTTCCATTCCTGAAATAAGAAAAAGTTGCATATCAAGGTATTTGATATTTGATATGAATCTTGCTACTGAACGACCACCAATCCTGTTTTAGAAAATAACCCATTTGATTTTCCAAGTCAGAGTCTGGATTCTTTTGTAGAATCCGGGAGTATTTGCATATGCTAACAAAACATAAATATCTTTAGTTATCTAGGCTTCTTACAATCAGCTAAAGAAATCGTCTATAAAGCCAAATTCATCTTCTACAACGCAAGTCAAGTTTCTGAATTTCGCCTATAACGGATCTAAAACCATATAATCAGGTTAGAAGAACGTAATTAGATAAACTTAAGAATATCATATGCAACTTACTCTTTGAACGATCAATCCCATTATCAGCCACCGGTTTCTCCTCGACCTTTTCCACTTTTTCTTCATTGGCCTCTTGGACCTTCACGGCGTCCGCCTTTTTAACCCCAACCGGCACCTCCTCTTCTTTACCCAAAGCTGGATCCTCCTCTTCCTTAGCCTCAACCGGTGCCTCCTCAACCGGTTTCACGGATTCTTCAGGCACCACTACTGCCTCCGGATCAGGCTGCGCCGACACCTTCGGTGTTCCTCTTGCTCTTCCGCCTCTTCTCCCTGGGCCGACTGACTTCCTCGCCGATTTCGGAGGCATCGCTCTCTCCTCAAAATTGGTCTAATCGATCTGGAAAATCAACAACTCGTGAATTTGATGAATCAGAGAGGAAAGAAAGATAAATGTTACTTTACTTTGAAACCCTAGCGGTCTAGCCCTAGTTTACTTTGAACGATATTCGGTGACTCGGGTCGGTTTGCTTAGAGATCCGTAGACCGTGTACTTTGGCACGCGATTTAATCACATATATTTAATTATTTATATACATTTACTCGTGCAATGCGATGAGAGCCGTGAATTTTAATGATTTTAAAGTTTCACTGGTTTTATTAGAAAAGATTTAACGATAATATAAGTTATACTTAGTCTTTACATATTAATAAAATTTGAATAAATTGTGTTTCCAATTATAGTCCATCGATGGAAAAAAATTGTATAACAGTTTAAAATCCAATATATTCAAAATCCAATATATTTAAACGACTTCATAATTGTGTTCGATTTACACCAAGAGCAAATAATCAATTGAGAGTTCTAAATCAATTGAACGAGAGATTATTGAGATAACTTTTAATAACTCACCTTGGGGGATGGGAAGAATACATAGAGGTATGAGATGGTGAAGGTATGAACGAAAGACGTCAAAAGTATCTTGGGAACATTAAAAAAAATGTAATAATGTGCATTGGTAACTTGTATTATATGTTATTCTAATTGTAGATTAAGAAATTTTAAGACCGAATGCATATAGATTAGTACTTAATGCATTATGAGTTGTTTTCAAGACTTTATGCATAAATGTATAGTACTTTGGTTTATAAGGTAGTATAGATATATAAAATAATATAAAAAATGTAATTTTATATAAGTTTTAAATTAATTTTATTAAATCTATATTATATTATAAAACATTTGACAAAAACTCTTAAAAACCATTCTTTATGCATGAAGTATTGTGTATTAATGTATATTACTTAAAATTTAATATTACAAGTAAATTATGCGTAAGTACAACTTATTAAAGCTCCATTTTAAATTCGTATAAGTAATTGCAGATAAACATAACCAAATACAAGATAAACATCTCATTTTAAATATACAAAATCTAAAATATAATTAGGATAATTCATTGAGTTCTAACAAAAACTTAATTTTTATAAAAAATTTATTGTTAAGTCAAAAATAAATTATTTCACCATTGACCTAAATTAAATTATAAAAAATTGAATTAAAGAAATTGTAAAAAAACGAAAACTTTTAAATGGTTAATTTAATATTAATATCGAAATATTTTTTAAAATTTTTATGATGTCTTTAAATTTATTTTTATTTAAAAGTAAAAACATTATATTTTCCAAAACCATATAAACCATATTATACCAATAAATACAAAAAATAAAACAAAACATTAAAATAAAGATGTATCTTGTTACATTGTGCGTGTATCTTTCTAGTATTTTTAAAGAATTTTGATATTATAGTACGAGTAAAGTTAACAGTTAGAAATTACACTTAGGGGTCATTTAACCAAGCATTTACCAATGAAACCAACATCATATGCAATAAGTTATTCGATAAGCGTTAAACGGGTAAGAGTTGTCACGTTCACTTACTGGATAAGACTTTTGCTCTTTGCTATCACTCTTACCAAATAAGATTATCGATCTTTATCATATTCATCCAGTAAGATAGCGTAACTTGGTAAACATGTAAATGTTCTCTGATTGTTATTTTTCTTAAAACTAATAAATGAGTAAACTTCAATTTTGGTTCTTAAGATTTAGTGAAAAGTTAAAAAGTGGGACTTGAACTTTGATAAATTCAAAATTCATCCTGACGGTTTCGATTTTGCTTTGAAAGTGGTCTTTGGTCATCAACTCCATTTATTTCATCTGTTAGAGCGAGAGGCGATTTTGTCTTTTCATCATAAATCTTTATTTTTCTTTCAGAAAATAACATAAGATAGTGTTGTAGTTTATATTATGTATTTTATTATTTAAATATCTTATGAACACCGATGCCCCCATCTGCCTCTGTTGTCCATTCTCCGGCACCAATACTTTATTCAATGAAACCCCTAAACACTCCCCCCTCTTCTTCATCAAGACACTCATCTCCTCTGCCTTTAAACCCTGAGTAGATCTATGTGGTTTGTGGGTCTACACCCCACCGCTAGATAGATCTTTATGGTTTGAAGATGCAGATAGTTTGGAGATCCAACAACACGGATGAAGATGGCGGTGGGTTTTTGAAACCCCTCCCCCGTTTATTGAACTTGTTACATTTCTTGTGTTCACGATGACTAAAATGACGGTGGCAAAAGATAGGCTTTCTTCGTTTCACGATGGCTAAAAATATGGGTTTCTTGTTTAAGATGAACAACTCCTTTCTCCTTCTTCACCATCGAACTTTGGTAAATTTTTTGGAACAACCTTTTAATTATCTCATTAACTTTTTGGTTTCACCTATGAACTTTGGTAAATTTTTTGGAACAACCACTGTTCATGCACGAAACAACATCATGAACTTTAACAAAAGTCTTGTTTTGCCTCTGAGATTTAAACAAAAAACATTGTTTCACCTACGAACTTTCTGATTTCACCTGTGAATTTTAAACAAACACCATGTAAAACATGATTATCTTCTAAAAATAAAAACAAACACCATACTAAACAAAGTTCGATAGAGCAGTTCATCGAGGGAGACGGGAAAGAGTGGTTGATGAATATCTTGCAAGAATAAACCATGATAATCTTAAAAAAGAAACAAAACAATTTGTTCCAGAATTGCCCTCCATTTGATTCGATTCAATTTATTTTCTTTTTCATTGTTTTATAAACTTTTTTTTAACATAATCGTTGATCAAAAAAATCAACAACTCAAATAAGTAATTAAAGTTAATATTATTACTTGGTTAATTAATGATTGTGAATATATACTACGAATATGTAAAGTTAATATTATAACTTGGTTGCTCTAACGTAGTTTTCATTTGGGAGATTCCAACATTTGTTAGTGAAATACTAGAAGGGTACTCGTGCAATGCAACGAGCTACATCTTCATTTTAATATTTTATTTTATTCTTTATTTTAGTCGATGTTGTAGCATGGTCTTATGTGATTTTGAAAAAACGATGATGTTTTTATTTTTGAATAAAATTATAAATTTGTAGATATTATAAAATTTTGACAAAAATATATCGATATTAGTATCAAATTAATTATTTAAAATTCATATTTTTGTGTGATTTTTTAATTCAATTTTTTTATTATAATTTAATTTAGGTTTAATAACGAATTAATTTATA